GTAGTGTAGTCCTATTGTTGTAGGCCCTAAAATTCCAAAATTATTTAGCATTTAACTTGCTTGTAATAAAATAAAAGGATTAAACTAAAATAGATATACAAATAATTTTGCTCTTACCCATGTATAGAGAGTAGGAACGAGATATAAGGAAAAAGAATAAAAAATTTGAGGATGATTATTTTAGCTGAATTCTTTGCATGGTTAAATAATACTGAAACTATCTAATTTCGTGAGTCGTACTAACGGGGCGTGGTATATTTTGACCCTCCTACCCTTGTTTGCCAAACTTAGAATAGAATCACTAAATTGCAATAATTTCATGTATAGGAAGAGCTGAAGACGGCACTGAGGGACTACGTTGGACGGCAAACTCCACTATACTTTGCTCACAGACTCACAAATCACTACAAGAATAGTAATGGAGAAGGACCTGAAATTTATCTAAAGAGAGAAGATCTCAACCATGGAGGAGCACACAAGATCAACAATGCCATTGCACAAGCTATGCTCGCCAAACGAATGGGACGAAAATTCGTCGTGGCGGCCACCGGTGCCGGCCAACATGGTATCGCAACTGCCGCTGCCTGTGCTAAACTCTCTTTGGATTGTACCATATTCATGGGTGATATAGACATGGAGAGACAATCGTCAAATGTGCTCTTGATGAAGCTGCTTGGTGCGCAGGTACTATGTTTTTTATACTTTAATTGTATGAGTTGTCTAAAATACCCAAAAATAATAATAATAATAAATCGTATCGACATTTATTATTTTTATGGATATTTTTATTATTGTTGTAATATCAAAAAATGATAAAAATACTTACAACAATAGTGATAAAATACCCATAAAAAAAATAATTTTTTTATTATAAAAATACAATACCAAATTTTTTTATTCAAAACCATGGTCAAGTATTATACTTTAACATACATTCTCTCGATTATGTGTCGGTTGGATTCTAGTTCTAGGTTCCCTAACTATTAGGTCAGTGGTGGTGTAATAGACCCGCATTGTACAACTTTGTCTCATTTTTTGTTTTTTTCTCAACGGTTAGAGTTTTGGGATTAATTTATGCATACCTCATTTAATATTTTATTTGGTCTGATTGAAGGAAAGTCATCCAACTTAAGAAATTATCGAGATTCAAACTCAACATATCTGTATTTACAGTTTATTTTTATTATCATTAGAGTTATCTCTCAAGGATAACTTTGTTCAATTTTTTAACTCATAATGACTTATTATTGTGCGGAGAAAATTCAAAAAAGTTATTAATGAAACCAAAAAAAAAATTTTTATAGTACCGATATTAATCACTCTGGTGAATATTTTTATTATTGTTGCCAGTGTTTTTATGATACCAATAAAAGGGATAAAAGTTATATCTCAACACTATGTCTGTTGGGATAAAACTTACACGTATATCTATGCTAATGATATAGGTAAAACCTGTGGAGGGAAGTTTCAAAGAAGCAACCTCACAAGCCATCCGGAACTGGGTCAACAACTTGGAAACCAGCTACTACTTGGCCGGCACCGCCGTCGGCCCTCACCCATGTCCGAGCATGGTGAGAGAATTTCAATCGGTGATCGGAAAGGAAACAAGAAAACAGGCAACGGAGAAGTGGGGTGGGAAGCCAGATGTGTTGGTGGCCTGTGTAGGTAGTGGCTCAAATGCATTGGGTTTGTTCCATGAGTTCTTGAGAGATGAAGAGGTGAGAATGATTGGAGTTGAGGCTGCTGGGACTGGTTTGGATAGTGGAAGACACTCGGCAACTTTGGCTAGTGGAGAGGTGGGTGTTTATCATGGAGCCATGAGCTATTTGTTGCAGGATGATGAAGGTCAGAATGTTGGGCCACACTCCATTGGTGTTGGGTAAGCACCCATATTATTATTATTATTTTTTTAGTAGAACATTAAAGGGTACTTGTTAATTTACGCGTACTTTAATTAATCTTCTCTCCCGTCCGGTCAAAGGCAGTTAGTTATACATGCTGAACTAATATATTTATGATGAATGAATTCCTCATCACCTGACATGAAAGAATTATCAATATTCAAATTCAAAAACGTTTGAATTTATAACTCGTTTTTATTACCACTTAAATTACTCTTAGAATTAGCACCCAAGTATTTATGAGCAATGCTATTTAGTACTAATTTCTTAATCTAATCTATTGTTGCTGTTGGATTGACTATAAACAACATTCAAGCCCCTTGGGAAGCAATGGGGTGGATAGAGTAGGGCCCCAAAAGACCATACTTATGTAGAATGCAGCATAATACAAGCATTTACATTAGCTGTTATATGTATATAATATTAAATGTCTCGGTTACATATGAATAGAATTTATTTATGAAAAGGGCTCAATCTTAAACACGAGCTTCAACCCAAGTTTAAGCCCGAACTCAATTCGTGTAAAATCAACCAAATCCTGTCAAGTTGAGCCCCAATTTAAATAAAAAAATATCAAGTTAACATTAAATAAGATGTTTACAACTCACCCCAAATCCCTATAATCTCCCCAAAAGACTGAACTGAGCACGACTAGCGTGGTGCTCGGCTCAGTTAGTTCATTGCACCTCTAGGGGTAGTATGAGAGGTGCATGGGGACTTTGGGACACCTAGGTATGGCTGGGGGTGGAGACAATAACAACAACACAACGTTTATGATGGTAAGAATTGCTTTAAAAAAACAAACTGCTTATACACGCAGGTTGGAGTATCCGGGTGTTAGTCCAGAACTAAGCTTTCTCAAAGACATTGGGCGTGCAGACTTCTACACAGTCACAGACCAAGAAGCTCTAGATGGTAAACAAACAACATGTAGTTATTATTACAAGAAAGAGAAGCAATTTTACATATTTATTAATTAAAATTTGACAAGCCGACCCCAAAAACATTGGGACGAGGCTTTGTTGAGTTGTAGAGTTATGGATTCATTAAAATTTGACCATCCAGTGCGATTTTTCTATTTCCTGCAGCATATGAAAGACTCTGCAGATTAGAAGGAATATTTCCAGCCTTGGAGGCCTCTCATGCACTGGCATTTCTGGAGAAACTTTGCCCTACCTTGCCCAATGGCGCAAAGGTTGTAGTTAATTGTAGCGGCCGCGGCGATAAAGATGCTGCAACTGTTTTCAAACATATACATGACTCTCCGATAAATAAAGATAAATGTTCTTTGCAATGATGGATCTAGGAGACGGGCAGGGGCAATCCTCTTCCCCCCAAAAAGGGTTTGAAGGATCCCCTTCAATAGGCTATAAAAATAGCTTTGAGTATATTTACAAATTATTAGGTTCGCCCCAACTATATATCTAGCCTTCTACAAGAATAAAATCCTAGATTCGTCCTTGAAACGGGCCGGTGAATACTATTGGAATTGGTTGAAGACACTATAGTTGATGGAGTTAAAGCTAGCTAACATACAAACTATTCAGAATGGGGACCAGAAACTTGCAGCCTTTGTTACCAGCGTTACAGCTGAGTTTTGGGGTTTCCATGAGGCTGTCAACAGGTTTCATAAAGCTAGTTTGTGAGGCTATCAACAAGTCATGTAATCCTTTCTCTCATACAAACTCCTCTGTTTATTATGGTTGTACTCTACCAGCCTTTGGCTAACATAAGTGTATCTTAATGAAATTAGATTTTTTCTAGTCCATTTTTTCTTAATTTTACTCAATAGTAGATCACCTACAATAATTTCAAATGAGAGAGAGCTTTGGAAGCTCATACTACTGACAAATTTGTTCTAAAACATACATCACGAGAAGATATGGGAAAAGAAAAGGGAAAAGGGAAGGGGGGGGGGCTTAGTGCAGAAAGATACGACAAACACAAATTTTTGAATCCTATTTAAGTGAAATTCCAGTACAATTAGTGCAAATGAAACACAACAGAAACAATCATATCAGTGGAAATGGGGGTCAGATAAGATCTTCATGAAAATGGTTAACAAAAACATAGGGCAAAAAAAAAATGATCTACATAGTACTCTTGAAACGAAATGATGCAGAAGCCACCATGGTTTTAAGTTGCAGAGAGACACTATTCTTCTACAAGCTCCAACAACAACTGCCACATTACTCCATCGGCCTCCCTTACATGCCCCATCACAGTTGAGTTTCATGTTAATGTATTATTTATGTTAATATTAATTTGCCTTATTAATTATTTAGGAAATAGAAGACCCATTGCCAAGAAAGTGTCACTTTCAGGTTGTTGAGTTCATGTCGGTCCATTAATTTAGAGTCCCCACCTTAATCGATGTGGGATTCGTGACAATTTTCTTATTCAAAGATGTGATGCTCTCATGGCATTCCAGTCCATCTAGAGGTAGGGGTGCAACTTAGGTGGGTTGGGCGGGTTAAGGGATCAACTCTAGTCCAACCTTAGATATATAATTTTTAATCTAACCCTAACTTTAACTTGACTTCAACTCGAAATACTCAAACTGAGTATTACCCAAGTTTAATTCGATCGAACTTGGGTGAATTTTAAGTTACGTAATTCAGGTAAATTTTAAGTTAGAATTCAGGTTGGGTTCGTGTTAATTTTGGATTAGAATTCGAGTTTGATTCATTCAAGTCCAAAATTATTCTGTTGTTCTAAATTTAGTACATACTACATAATATTCACCTAAAATAACAACCAACAACTTCAATCAAATGTTTAACATAAATATCATAGTATTTAAAATATAAAAATCAATTTACAACATAAAGACATAATAGCCAAATACTTAACATAACATTGAACCAGAAGACTAATCCCTAGTGTTTTACCTTGTAAGTTATATTGTTATATTAATTTATATATTTATTTTTAAATATGTTTGGTTTGAGCTCGATTTATATATTCGGGTTAAACCCAATTTAAAATTCAGGTTAAGCTCGATTTGTATTTTCGGGTTGAAGCCAATTTATATATTCGAGCTGAACCTGGTAACCCGAGACTTCAAACTAGGTACTGTCTGAATTCAATTCAAATTGATGTTTTTCTTTCCATGCCCAACCTAAATATTAAAATCTTTAACCTAAGCTCTGTTTTTCCTAAATTGGGTTCAAATTAACCCACCCAAGTTGCACCCCTATCTAAAAGGGGAGGCCCACCTGATTCGAGTCCACCTTGATCTATGCATTATCAATTGGAGCCTCGCACAATTGATGGAGTTGCGAATCACTAAATTCCAACCAAATATTACTTGTCACA